TTCATGGCTCCTTCAAAAATCACAGGATAAAAGGACAAGTCCATTTGTGGATCAAAAACTGGCTAATTAATAGGAAACAGAGAGTGAGTATAAATGGGCAATTTTCTCAGTGAAGGGTGGTAAGTAGTGGGGTACCAAAGGGATCAGTACTTGGTCCGATGCTTTTTAACTTGTTCATTAATGAATTGGAGTTGGGAGTAAGCAGTGAAGTGGCTAAATTTGCGGATGATATGAAGTTGTTCAGGGTGGTGAAAACCAGGGAGGATTGTGAGGCACTCCAAAGGGATTTGTCGAGAATGGGCGAGTGGGCATCAATGTGGCAAATGGGGTTCAATGTCGCCAAGTGCAAGGTGATGCACATTGGAGCCAAAAATCCTAACTATAAATACACGTTGATGGGGTCTGAACTGGCAAAGACTGACCAAGAGAGAGATCTTGGAGTCGCAGTAGATAAAATAGGGAATTCCAAGGAACTGGTAGATCATGGCAGTAGATAGTTAAAATGTTATTGTGCTATAGCTATACAGCAATCGCCGACTTTTTAAAAGCCCTTTGGTGGCAGAGAGGAATGGGCAGCTGAATGAAGGAAAGTCCCTGGTTAAACTGCCTTGCAGATATTCAGGTGTTGCAGCAAACACCTCTGCACACACAGCAACAAGAGCCACACAGTGAATCATCCCTATGTGGAAGCAGCTGTAGGCATTTTGATTCAGAACCTTCACTGTGCTCTTCTGTGTACCTGAAGCACCTCTCCAAGAGAGATTTCGTGCTCACGGGACTGGAAAGGGCAGCTATGCACATGCATCTCTCTCTTTTTGTATTTTTGCATTTTGTGTGTGTATGTGTGTGCCCGTGCTTGGAAGTCATGGCGACCCCTGGTGACTCCTACTGGGGAAGGAAGGACATTCAGAGAAGTGGCTTGATAGCCTGCCTCTGGCCTCCCCGCCCTGGTATTCTCTGGATATCTCCCATCCAAATAGTAGCCAGGGTTGGTCCTGCTAAGCTTCTGAGATCCGATGAGATCGGGCTTGCCTGGGTTATCCAGGTCAGGGCTACATGCATCTCTTTAAGCAGAGTTGCCTCCTTCGTTGAGGTGAACAGTGAATATCTCATGGGGTCCGGAAGCAGAGACTCTGCGCCTGAAATAGTGGGCATAATTCAGACACAGTTCAAACTGTTGTGATTCTAATTTGTTACAAGGGGCACTAACAGTGCCGTCTTAAGCACCATTATTTTTGCTGTCAAGTCGCAGCTGACCTCTGGTGACCCCATAGGGTTTGCAGGGCAAGAGACATTCAGAGGTGTTTTGGCATTTTGCCTACTTCGGCACAGCAACTCCAGATTTCCTTTATGGTCTCCCAGGGCTGACATTACTTAGGTTCCAAGATCTGATGAGATCAGGCTAGCCTGGGACATCCACATCAGGGCTAATGCAATTACACCATTCTAAGTCCATTGAAGTAGCTGCGGTGGCTCAAGTGGTTAAGACACTGAACTGCAGGCTGTGGAAGGTCGGTAGTTCAGCAGTTCGAGACCCGAGTGTGCCGCATGACGGAGTGAGCTCCCGTCTCTAGTTCCAGCTCCTGCCAACCTAGCAGTTCGAAAGCAAGAAATTGCAAGTAGATAAATAGGGACCACTTCGGTGGGAAGGTAACAGCGTTCCGTGCACCTTGGTGTTTAGTCATGCCGGCCACATGACCACGGAAACGTCTTCGGACAGCGCTGGCTCTTCGGCTTTGAAACGGAGATGAGCACCGCAACCCTAGAGTCGGATTTGACTGGCTTTCGAGCAGGGGAACCTTTACCTTTAAGTCCGTTGAAGTCAATGGCCTTAGAAGGGTGCTTAGGAAGGCATTGTGCAGCACTTGTGCAGATCAATGGAACCTGAGTGTGTTTAATATTAGCTTGATCATGCCAAAGTGTTTTCAATATGTGAATATGAACATTTAGACCCATAGTACCCTATGCTATCAGATGCTGAAAGGGTAGGTGGAGGAGACTTGAGATGGACCTGCAGGCAACCAAGTCCTAAAGTTGTGCTTGGCTCCCACTAAAAAAAACCTTGAAAATAAATTATCTGTGTGTAAAGTGCCCTAAAGTTGCAGCTGACCTATGGTGACCACAGCAAGGGGCTTTCAAGACAAGTGAGAAGCAGAGGTGGCTTGTCATTCCTTTCCTCTGCAGAGTCTTCATCGTTGGTCTCCCTTCCAAGTGCCAACCCTGCTTAGCTTCCAAGAACAGGCTATACCATTGATTTATGTTATTTATAGTCCACCTTTCTCACTTGGACTCAGGGTGGATTACACAGAGTGAGTCAATACAATCAACAAGATGGGACGTTCAGTAAACAATGAAATCGGATTTGGGTTGTAGAACCAGTCAGAATTGTAAAAACAGAACCGAAGCAAGGCATAAGGGTTAACATCACACACTACATGGTGCAAAATTACACAATAGAATACCATGCAGCCTTTCCTCCCTGAAAATAAATTAGCAAGGTGCCCATGACGAATGGTTGTATGTCCGCCGTAATAAAAAAACGAAATAGGTTCTGCTGATGATATTAAACATTTGGGAAAAGGTGAGACTCTTGATCAATCATGGGAAAGTCTTTACCTCTTTTGTGAACATGTTTTCATACACAAAACCCTCAAACTAGAAATAGAATGCAACGACGACCATGGGGTGTCGTGTGGACTCCACCGTTTCCCTGTGACATTATTAGGCAGAGACAGAGTTACTTAATGATGTTGACACCTTAATTTATATCGTGCCTCTGACGAACAATGGAATAAAGCCAGCGTGGAAAAGAGAATGTAATATTCTGTTCGGTGGAATCTGCAAACAGCTTTTGTTGTTCTACACCAAGAAGAAGATAAAAGTGTTCTATTCCAAAGTTAGTGCACAACCTAAAATAATGTGACAAAATGACACC